TGGCAACCGTTGATAGAGATTATGGTGTCTTGAACAAGGTTTTCCATAACATCACAGACACACATGTGGCTCATCATCTCTTTTCAACAATGCCACATTATCATGCAGTGGAGGCAACTGAAGCAATGAAGCCAATTCTGGGAGAGTATTACCAATTTGATGGCACTCCTGTCTACAAAGCAATGTGGAGGGAGGCAAAAGAGTGTCTTTATGTTGAGCGAGGTGAAGAAATCAAGGGTGTTTTTTGGTACAGAAATAATAAGCTTTGATGAGATTATCTGATCCTGATCACCTACTGTTACTAGTGAAGCTGTATCTTTATTGCATTTGTGGAGAACCAAGAAAGAAGTAGCTTTTTTTTGCTCTGGAGAGATGCATGTGTAAGTTTGTGTAAAATTACATTGTGCTAATAAACTCATAGCCTATGTTTCATGGAACTCATATGGTTTTTTCTTTTCTGTAGAAAAAGAATTCAAACTAGTCTATTTCACGTTGCAACAAGTCTCTTAACTATATTACCTATTCATTAATAGGTTCCATAAGTTAGATTTGTATTGGCAAGGTCATGACACTAAGAGAAAAGCCAGTTTCGGTTGGTTTGATTCTTAATCCTTAGCAGTTAAAGTATGGCTATTAGGCGTATCCCTTATTTAATTTGAGTACTTCAAAATACGCAACGGATCTTCTGTCCCACACCCTGTGCCACTTTTTACTATATTGCTTTTTCTATTATATATTACTTTTTTGAAACTGTTGTATTTATTTTTTACTGAATTAATAGTTATTGGATCTTAAGAAAACAAAAAAGAATTAAAACATGATATTTATGAAGGAGAAATAGCAATAGTAAAAAGTGGCACAGAGAGTGGGACAGAAGATCCGTTGCGGTGATTTGTAGACATGAAACATGATACTAACAAATGTAAGATTCGGTTCCCTCTAATATCGTATCCAGTTCTGAAACAAAGTTCCTGAGCTAAGAGAATATTGTCGGAGAAACTCGTACCCGGAACAAAGGCAGACTGGAAACGAGAGGTAACTTCTGGTAAAGCACTATTAATCCGATGTGCCTGGATCCACACCGTGAGGGTCTCTCTGCGGATCCTCCTAGTTATGTTCAGAAATAAATCCATGGATCCAATCCGCACCAGGCCAGAGAGGATTCACCAATTCCTTCTGGATCCGTGTCACGGATCTACATTGGCCTTGGGCACCTTCTGTCCAAAGAACATATTCCATTCCAAATACTTATGTTTATTGAAGACTTGTGTGTATAAGGCCTAGGCACGCCATATAAGAGGGGGAAAAAGGGTAGTGTTAAGAGAATCTCAAATTTCTCAGATTTTTTGTGACAAATCTCAAGTTTCTTTTCGAGTTGAATCAGGGGTTGTAGAGGTTTATCACACGACATTTCGGAGTTTCAAAATGTTTTCTTTGTCGATTTTTCAAATTAGAAGGAAGGAAATTCCTTCTATCTGCTTTATTGTTGTATTCATTAATATAGCTTTATTCAGATGAAATTATCTTGTAAAAAAAAAAGTGAACTTGCTATGGAGGAACTAAATTAAAAAAAAAAAAAAAAGCACTTCTCTCACAACTCTGTCCTCCACCTACCATGCGCTGTGACTAGTGTATCTACAACTATGGATGGAACGACAGTAAATGACAGCAGCAGCAACACCAATGAAACTAGTCAAGCTCCCCCCTCAACCATAAATTCCCAACTAGCAAAAAGGACGAAATTCTTTATGCATAGCCATTCTCACTTTTAAATTTGTTAGAATAAAAAATAATCCAACTTGAATACTTTTGTTTGTTTCCATTATCTGGTTGTGATTCTATAAGATGAAGTCCTAATGCACATAGGAAAGAGTTCAAAATACTAAGGAGTAAGGTGGCACTTTGTTATTAGAGAACTAAAAAGTATACACACTGATAGGAGGATGAACTTGATATCACTGCTGCAGCGGGACTGTCGCTTGCTATATGAATGGAGAGAAGGAAACAAAAATGCCGACCATCTTATGAGGATAAGTCTTACAATCAGGCTACAAAGTCTTTGTTTGTCCTCCAAAGTCTATTAAAAGTTTGGTGGCAACTAATCGTATTGCTTCACTACGCCTAGATTTGTTACTATATAATGGGTCTACAATCCTTCCACTCATAAAAAAAAAAACAAATTGATATCCCTTAAAAAAAGGAAAAAAAAACTTACCTACAACCACATATATGAATTGGCTTCACATGGATTATGTGCTTTTGCGCTGTTTTTTAAAAATTTTACTAACATTATATATAAAATATTTTGATATTGTTATTTGTTTGGGTGTTTTTAAAATTTAAAATTTTATTAGATTTTTTAAAATAAAAAAAAAACCATCCATCACTGTCCCCCATAACCCTCCACCACCATTGTTTCCCCTTCTCTCTTCTCCTTCCTTTCTCCTTCTCTTCTCTCTTTCTTTCCTCCCTTCTTCTTCCTCCTCCCTCCTTCCCTCCTCTCCCTTCCCTTCCCCTAAACAAATCCCCACTCCCCTTCCCCATCTTCTCCAATTGCAAATAGTTGTGACCAAATCTGAGATCTGGTAGCAAACCTCTTGTTTTTTCCACCATCTCTGGTTGCAACCAAATCTTTTCTGGTCACAAAGGCGGGGGATCTTGCAGGGGAAGGGGAGGGAGGAGGAGAAAGGAAGGGAAGGGAGGAAGAGATAGGAGGAGGGAGAAGGAAGGAGGGGAGGAAAATGGACAAGGAGGAGAGAAGAGAAGGAAGAGGAAGGGGAGGGGAGGGGAATGGGAAGTAGTGGTGGTGATAGATAGTGGGTGGAAGAAGATAGTGGTAGGTTTTTTTTAGGGTTAATTACACTTTGCCCCATGAACTTGAGCCATTGTAACACTTTGCCCTACTAAATCTCAAATATATACACTTTCCCCCTGAAGTCAACTTTTTGATTGAGTTAAGATGAAATTATATTTTCATGACCAAAATATCCCTTGCTAATTCTTAAATATAAATAATAATTGTAACATAATAAACACCTATTTCTTTAATAGTTACTAAATGCATTGAAACACAATTACACTATGCATTTCGATCTTTTAGCACTAAAATGAATTAGATAATCCACAAAACAAGAAGTCTAAGCAACTCAAAGTGTTTATCTCAATTTCAATAAGAATACTTATTTTAAATGAAATAAAATTAATTAGTGTATTTGGAATGAATTGGAATGAAAATTATTTGCTTATATATTTTATCGTAGCACTTTTCAATGTTTTTTATGATACAAGAGCATGATAAAAAATACAAATGTATTGAAAAAATTGTATTTAGAGAATCTTAAGTTTTATTTTTGAAAAAAATGTAGAATTCAAACAAAATACAAAGTTATGAATGCGGTAAAAAAAATACCAAATAGTATCTTATTGACTCATGAAAATCTTGTAAAACTTGTAAGGTAATGAAAATTATCAAAACCAATCTGTTTACATTTTAAAAGAAGAAAGACAAGCAATAAAAAACTTATGCAAAAGTTTTAGGAATTTCAAATTCTTTTTTTCTCCACAATATAAAATTTCAATTCTTTGGTGTTATACATCTTTTATTTTTTAAGTTTTTAAAATCATGTAACTTTGTGTTTCATATTATGATTAAACAAGTATAACATTATTTTAGAACCACTATGTAGGGGCATTAATGTAATTTTATTAAAATTGTGGATGGAGAATTTATCATTTAACATTTGGCTAGTTAATAAAGGGGTAAAGTGTATATTTTAAAGTTTAGGGGGATAAAGTGTTGTAAAGAGTTATGTTCAGGGGGACAAACTGTAATTAACCCTATTTTTTATTTTTTGATAGTTGTTTTTGAGATATTATATGAATTAAATATTTGTGGAACTATTTTTGTTTGTGTGTTATTGTAACAATGTAGTTGAAAAACTTGTTTATGAAAAATTGTCTAATTCAAACAGAGCCATTTTTCGAGTTTAAAGGAAGTCTAACAAAGACATCAAATTTTGCTATAAACTGTTCACTTCCCACTAAATGTACGAACAAGAATGAATAGGATCTAACAAGTTGAACACGTTTTTGTGGCTACTGCGGCATGAAATAACTCACTTTGGCAAAAGATATTTAGATTTGGAAGGCTATTAATTCTTGAAGGGTACTATTAAGGCATCATACGTAAATTCCAAAACGCTCAAATCCTTTTTCCTATAGCTCAAATGGTCATGTCTGCAGCAAGGGCAACAATTAAGTAAACTTACAAGCGAAGTTAGCTTAAATTTGTCTCGAAAGAATTGTAGGTCCTAAAGTTGGGGAATGCACTGAAGATCCTAAAGTTGTAATGAAAACAAATTTTGTACCTAAAGTTCTCAATTTTGAAGAAAACAGTGATGAAAACAAATAAAAGAAAATGAATATTATAGGCATGTCCTTAGGCTAACAAATAAAAGACTATAGTTGTGCATGTAAATACGCCACATATTTGTGGAAGGAAAATCTTATATTTGTTGAAGTTATTAAAGGTAAACTATAAAGATTAATTTTTCCTATACTATAGTGTATATACTGATGGGATTGAATAAATATCATATCATTTGAAGTTGAATTTGAATATCAAATTTTGTATATATAACATCCAACTAGACTTGTTAAATTTTGATAGTCAAAGTTGTCATAGAATTTAGTCATAAAATTGCTTTATATGTACTCGTAATATTCATGAGCGTGGTAAGGAATCTTCCACTTTGGTGTACGCAAATTGGTCTCAATGAATTTTTTGTTATATTTAAAAGGATTGATAGTAATTCTCCACCTACCCGTGGTATCAGTAAATTTTGTTTCACTTTATTATAAGAATTTTATTGTCGCTAACGAAAACCAAAAAGAAAAAGAAAATAATAGAAGCTTAACATAAGAAAATAAAAGTCAAAATTTTCAAGAAAAGTCAACTAGAGATATAATTTCCAAAAAGTCCCCACATGATGATTTTATCATTGCTTTAAAGCATAGATATAATCCTAGGATGCCAAAATTTGTTGCACTCGTCCATTGGCCCCTTGATCATTTTCTCCATCTCCTTCTGAAAATTCTCCATGGCTGCAACAGGCAAGCACACTGGCACCACCAAACCATCATCCCCTTGGTTATTTCGAAATTGCGAATAAACTGTCATATTAAAAGTTGGCCCTCCATCCATGGTTCCACCATAAATTGGCTTTCCCCAGCCAAAATCTACGTCGTCAATTCCAGCTCTTGATGCATCCGAAACAATCCAATCCTTCAACAACGTAGAATACCCTGGTTTTCCATGCAAAACACTATAGTCAATGGCCGATTTGATGAAGCCCTCAGTAACTTCATGTTTTGCTTTCTTCACTAGCTCTAATGCATAGACAAATGAATTGTTGCACAATTGGTTGACCTTTGAGACTGCAGCAGGAGAGACGAATCCATTGCCATAATAACCACTAGGCAACTTTGGTTTATTTTTATCACGAACATTAACTGCATAGGTAAGAGTAACGATTTCTTCAGGATCCAATTCTAAGGCTATTGTTCTTGATCTCCATACAAATGCAGTTACCAAATCAAATTTTGACGCATAAGGAATGTTTGGTGGAAGATATTTCTTGATGGCTTTTATCTCTTGTGCTCCAAAAAAGAAGCCTTTGCGTACAAGGTTGAGAGGGGAGTCGAATGTTGTAGGCTCAGTGCAGCTATTACTGTTTTTCTCCACCTCGAACTCATTATGCACACATGTGACGTATGGTGGATTTCTGGCACTTAAGAGCCATCTTTGCCACACAGGTAATGGAGAAGGTGCTGACGATGGATCTTTGGATATTTGGCTTACTGCATTCAGAAACTGGACAAAGCCAATTGCATCACTAATTGTATGGTTTATGCGAATAGCGAGGACAAGTCCACCACAGCTCAAGCGGGTCACCTGAATTTTGACCCCCCAAGAAACCAAAATGACAATAAGAAAGCCTTCAGGTAAAGTTTGTAAATAAATAGGAATTTTGTAATTTATAATTGGAGCTTTCAAGTGAAAATTGCTCAATATTGTGAGAAGTTCATTTTACTGATAACTTTATGTACTTAAAATTTACATAACAAGACTAGAAATAGTGCAGCTAATTCTATTAGGATTAACAGCAAATTACACAGAATAGCCACTAGTATACTGATTTTGTGAGTTTAGTACCATTTTGAAATTAAGACAAAATTTGAATGACTAAAGTATAAAATTTCATGATACAGTGGTTTGTGGAGTTTTTTGTCTCATGAATGAAAAAAATAAGGGTGAATTACTTTTTACCCTCTTGATTTGGTGCTTTATCACATAATTTTCTATGATTTCAAAACCTATATATAACCTCCTCATACTTTGGATTGAAAATGTCTTATTTAGTTCTTGGTTTAAAATTTTGAAATAAAAAAAATAGGTAAATAAGAACTAGAAAATACCATTAAAAATTTGGTTTAAAAACCTAAAATGATATTGTAGTCAAAAAAGATTTGGTATTTTTTATTTCTTATTTGTTTGTTTTATATTTTCCTTCCATCTTTTTTGTTTCTTATTTATTTATTTTTATTTCCCTCCCTTCTCTTTTGTATTTGGAGAAAATTAAGATTTTGTAGGCCAAGATATTGGTTTTCAAAGTCATCTTTTCTATTCCCCCCAAAAAAAAAGAGAGAAAGAAAAAATGAGAAAAAAGTAGTGAAATGGTGAATTTGTCAATTTATTAGTTTGACTATAACTTTTTTCTATTGACCATTAATTTTAATGGAAAAACTAATGACAACACTTTTATTCAAATCATAAGAGGGTTATAGATAAGTTTTTAAACCATAAGTGATTATGTGGTAAAACACCAAACCATGGGGTTATAAAAAATAATTTACCCAAAAAATAAAACGTTATTGCTCCACATATTTGGATTGTTTCCTTAACTATTTAACTACCACTATTTTAAAGTATAAATTATTTTTAATCCCCATCTCTCTTATGTTATCATATAAGTCCTTTAAGTTTCAAAATATCTACAAACCACTCTATCATTTTTTATAAAGTGAAAATTTGGCAGAAAAGATCTTTGTGATGTAGTCAGTTGAAATGGCAGTATTATCCTTATTTAAATTAAATACTAAACAGAATGAAGGTCTATCCACTTATACAACTATAGCGGAATTATGTAAATAGATGTAAAATCATAGAGGGACCAAGTGAGTATTTATGAAAAAGCACAGAAGGGTGGATACTATAATATGCTCACACATTTTTAGAGTATGTCTGGGTCAATCACTGCAATCTGCGGTGCTTTCTATCTATTTTCTACTTTATATAGAACCACTTGTAGAACGTACATGGTCATGTAGCAATTTGCAGATAATCAAACAGAGATATTCGGTTTGGCTGGAAGAAGAAGAGGCCAGACTTAGCCTGAATGTTTTGCTCACCTGAATCAACATCAACGGACTGTCCAAGATCGCTGTAGAGCCAGAAGCATCTATTAAGAACTCCTTTGAGTAAGGAAATGGTGGCTGCATGAAGTCACGAAGTTGATCGAGCCTAACCTCTGCAATGGCTTCCCTAAACACCACTCCTTCAGCTGTACAGTTGACAAGAATCTTATCTGAAGGCCCTTCAATGAGCCTGCCGGCATAGGGATAGTAATAAACAAGTGCTTTAGCTAGTGCATTCCTAATCACCCCAACAGGGTTCTTTTCGTCCATGCACTGATTATAGCTATAAAACATAATCATGGGTAAATGAAATCTGTGGCCCTTTTGATCGTCTATATCAGAAAGTGGTCTTATTTCTTCGGGGGTAGTTTTTGCAGGAACAATCAACTCTGCTTCCTTGTGTCTCACTAGAAATTGCATTGCCATCTCTCTCTCTCTCTCTGTCTTTCTCGTGCCTTTTGTTTTGTGAGGCGGCGAAGGTTTGGTACCTGCTAAGTCTTGTTATGCGTTCTCATATTTATACCATCTCTGGTTTCAATCTCTATTTTGCTGTCTATTTTGTTACCCTGTGTGAGTGTGTTACGTGGTATATCTGATATACCAACATCGTGTTGCAAGAAAAGAATAATCGTGATGGAAAACAAAACAAAATAAAGACATGGTAAAGATTGAAACAAAAAATCAAACAATAAAAAAGCCAAGGAATTGAAACATGTATAGTTGAGCACGGAACTAGCTTCACAATTACACCAGGCTAGAATCAGATTCACATGTACACCTGGATAAAGGAAGAGAACCTAACAGTGATAATTGTCGATTGTTGATTGAGAAGTAAAGGGTGAGTTTTGATACAAAGTCCAAAAATATCAAAATAAGTTCTTTATGCCTTGAAAGTTAAGGGAATCTCCTTCCAAATCTTAGAAAACATCTATGTCATGGACGAAGTGCAAAACTACTGATGGTTCTGAAGGTAGCTAAATCATCGGTCTTTGTCATCCTAGACGTGCTAAATCAATCACTAAAACCACATAGGTGCACCTCTACTTTCGTGAGTGCACTCCCTATGTTTAGTACTTCTTGAACTAGTGTTAAATCTCAATTTTCATTGCAGAAACAATACCTTAGATAATCACAATTAATGGTACCAGATTAATCATGATTTAAAGAGCCAAAGTGCTAAATAACTTGCTCAAATCATAACAATCAAATAACCAAATAATAAACACTAACAATCATAGAAAGTTCAACAAAACCCAAGGTATAAATTTTAAAAACACATAATAAACACAAAATCCAGAACTTGTATATTAACCAAACTTTGAATCAAGTACAAAAGATAAAGAGTTTGGAAGGAATACAACCCTTGTCACATGAGCTTTCTTCCTTGCCTTCTTCATCCTCTATCTTCTTCTTTATCTAGCTAATAACAAGAATGGATGGACTATCCTACTCTATACTAAGCTAAACTAACACTAGAAAGATGAAAGAGCTACATTTCTGCAACTTCAAGCTTCTCCCGTATGTCTCTCTCTCTCCCCCAATCTTGCAATGAATTTGGCTATTTAATGATGAAAAGTTGGTCAAGAAATGAGGTTTTCAACTCCCTTTTACACCTGGAAATGTTTCTCACATGTGAGTTGGTGGAGTTGAAAATAAACTTTTCGCATAAAGAATAGCCTTCTCTGACCACAATTCAGCCACAAATCCAGCCAAATTCCGGCCGGATTGCTACAGTGACCATTTGGTCACTTCTGGTTCAATTTCCAGCTCTGTTCCGATTTTGACTCAACTTCAACTGAACTTTTCTTGATGATAAAAGCTGATTTAGCTCTTAACCAAAACATGAAAGTTGTAGCCCTTTGAGTTAGCTTTCCAATGCATCACGAATCACCTCATTTGGATTTGTGTGGTCTGAGAAATGACCAAAATACCCTTACCTGCTCATTGCCCTGTTCCAGCTTTGACTATAGAAAAGTAGCCACTTTAATTCAGCTTTTTGACTTCGAAAACCTTCAAACTGGATTCAGATGTCTTCACCAAAATTGTAGATCTATCTCTTATCTTTAAATTGGTTCAAGAATCATCTCAATCCGATCACTGTAACTCAAGTTATAGCCAAAATACGAAATTGTGTCAAAACTATCAAAAATGCACAAAATCCAAGTAGAAATTGATAAAAACCTCATTTAATCACTTAAAAGTATTTTTCACCAATTATAGCCAAAATGATTCATTTTCTTCCAATAATATATCAAAGTGACTAAAAATAATATAAAATATCATACAATTATTACGTAAATTAATCACTTATCAAATTCCCCCACACTTAAATCATTGCTTGTCCTCAACCAATCCACACATAATCAAGTACAATGATTCAAGAGGTAAAACAATATATGCACTTTGTCCAATTTAATTCCTCAAAACTTGGAAAATAATCATTATATCATTGTTCAAATTATACTAAATACTCATAATATCAAGTAAAGGAAAGATAATTATACCCTAAATTCAACAAGTTAAACTTAATCTCTTACCCTAACTTAATTTTACAAATAAGCAAATCACATAGTCAATTTATAGCCTTCCTCCTCCTATAATCATCTTTTTCTCAAAATTCTATAACTAAGAGGGATTTATTCATACTAATTTTTACTTAAATAGTGAGAATGCCTTTTTACGCAAAAATCGACACTTTTAGGTGAAGATCTCCGGTTACTCAATATTTCACTTATTCAAGTTGCTATGCATACTCTTAATTCAAGTACCTTTTTACGCGAATGTCGACATTTGTAAATGCCAACCCCGGTTACTTGGTACGAGAATCATTAGAGTAGAACAATTTTTATTTACTTTCTTTTCTCTTTTTTTTTTATTTTTCTCTCTTTGTTTTTTCTTTTTCAAAAAGAAAGGACAATAAATAGATATTCCCTCTTAGAAAATATATAAGAATAATCAAAGGAGGAGTATAACCTTTATCGACTATATCAATCACTTACTTGCAAAATTAAGTAAAAGAAGAAATCTCATTAAACATGTAAAATTATAGGCACAATTTTCCTCACTTTACCAAATATACTTTCTAAAATGTAAAAATTCTAATTGCATAATAACTATTTCCAAGTTAAATGAGACTAAACCTTCCAAAATACACATAAAGTTTCAACAATTGGAAGAATTAAACATTTAAGTTGGAACAATTAGGCCCTTTTTGAATGAAAATGCAAAAATTTGAAAACTTTTGGGCCATAGTGAAATATTGGAAAAGATTTTAGAAAAATTTTACAGAGTTTCTCCTTATAAATGGATGAAAACTCCCTGCCAACAAACCCAATTTCAAGCAAATTATCCACATGGCAAATAATTCAAACAAATTCCAACATTTCTAAGCATTTAAATCCACAAAATATCATCACCTAGCAAGTAAATGCAAGTTCAATACTTTCCTCCCCCACACTTAAACTTCACATTGTCCTCAATGTGAGAAAAGAAAATAAATAAAGAGTAAAAGAAAATACTGCTCAATTGAACTTGCGCAATCCGAGTCCATGTCCAAGTGATGAATTTCCAACCTAAGTAGTCCGAATCACTAACACCACAACAGAGATGAAGATCACTTGGATTAGTTCACACAAAAGAAAGAAAATCACTAAAAATTAAACATCACAATACTACAGAAAGTAAAAGAAAAACTAGTGGCAATGTCACGAGGTGACGAGCACTCCCTCAAGTAGTCGCTTGGTCAGGTGAAGATGGTGGAGTCGGAGGAGCTTCAATACCCAGCTTGGTCTCGATGCGACGAAGACGCTCGGAGTTCCGTTTGTTCTCTTGGCGGCTCTTCTTCACCTCAGCCTCGACGCAAAGCAGCTTATCCATTATCTTCTTCAAAAATGACCGAGTGTCCTGAGGTGAGGATGGACGACGGAGGAAGACGGCTCAGTTGAGACCGTGGGGTGGTTGTTTCAACCCTTGAGCTTCTCAATTCGTTCAATTTCAGCTTCCTCGTGCCGAATGTCTCCTTGAGCACCTTCTTGAGTCAAGGACCACCTATGTCTTTACTCTTCAAAATAACCTGCAAAAATCCAATGTAAAGACATCCTTCTTTTAGAATGTAGGGATAGCATTAGAAAAATCCACTCCAGCCCTTTGAAACTCAAGGTCAAGAACCGAGGATATGGGAAGGCATGTTTGATGTCGTTACTGTGAACCACAGCCCACATGTGGTTGGTGATAATGCTTCCCAATGGAATGCCTTGGATATTTCCTAAGCCATGCTCCATTTTATCCAAGAAATAGATGTCACTTGTGCGCGCCTCATTGGTTCCACTTGCCTCGGAATTGTTGGAGGCAAAAGTAAATAAAGACGTTGCGACTCCGGAAATGATGAAGTCAATACCGAATATCGCCCAGTCTTCCAGTAGCCTTGTACTCAACCCCCAAGCGTACAAGTGCCTCTAGCATGTTCCAAGAGTCCAAATCATTGGGTTTGAAGGTTTCTTCAAATCTACCTTACGCCCCACATCCGAAACATGAAGATAGCGCTCCAAATCAGCTCTATGGACTCGAACTTTTCTCTCGCACTGTACTGGTAATCACTTCCGTGTGTAGTGAAAAACTTCTTGTCCTCCACATTCGCATAGAATTTCGGACAAGCTCCTCATAATAAAAGTTGGGATGTTAAAGAAGTTTTCCCATCCCAATTGGCAAAGGAGCCTTGAGATGGTAGACCTCCTCAACATCTAGAGTGACATCTTTCTCCACCAATACTTAGCTCCCCTCCTAGCATTGTACCAAGCTTCATTTTCGGCGGAGGTGAAGCGCGACTTATCATAAGGGACTTCCTCCTCTTGTTCCCCTTGTGCCTCTTGTTTTTGAGTCTCCTCTCCGATGATGGCTCGTCTTGAAGCACAAGGCGTCTACTCGCTTTTCTTTTCAAGCGCGGTGGTCTAGACGTAGACGCTTCTCCTCTCCTATTGGGAGGTGGAGATTTCACCACACTTTCTTAGTGCGAGCCATTGTATACCTAAATTCAATAATTAAACATTAACTTCATTTAATAGGTACATTGCTAAGTAAAATAAGAAAACTCATTCACTTTTACCTCTTTATCTTTAATTAGCAATCTTATCAACTTACTCACATAATAATTAGCAATTAACTTCATAAGCAAGAATTTACAATTGATTATCAACACAAATGCTTCTTTTATTTTTCCATTGACACATTTAAACATATAAATCCATTAGAGGAAGCAATTAAACAATCACACTACTCCCAAATGACCTAATTAAGTGTTAATAACACCTTAACATGAATTTTAAACTTAAAAAGGTCATTAATTCTCCTTTTAACAAATTTTCTAGAATAAACATGCTAAAATCAAAGATAAGCTAATTAAGCCTAAATTTAGCATGTAAATATCCTAGACAATCCATTACTCTCATACAATTTTATTCAATCCAATTAGCCCAAAAATTTAGCTAA